CGGACTCACCCACCCTTGTTTTTACCTGCTTTTCTGAAATGGAGGATCCACATGGGTGTCAACCCAAAATGGCCACAGGGTATAATCTGAAAGGGATACATACGTAGATTAGTTCATTTTTTATTCCTTCCCCAGTCAGAATTTGAACTCCAGAATATCAAGATTTCCTGACACACAACCCCCCAACCATTCCCACTTTTTCAAAGGTTGAATGAACTTCATATTTTACAGAATCTATGGCTTTTATGCCTCTAGTCAATGACCTATGCAGTAGACACAATTCAACGGACACTGGAAAACCGTGCCACTTGTTGAACTGCTGTCTGGGATAAGGCAGCACAAAATTATGAAAATATTGTGCATCAAATTACCTTCAGCTTATATGTGTATAAGGTGTATATGAAATATAAACTGATTTTGTGCTTTGGCTTGGGTCCCATCTCTAAGATCCCTTCTCTATGTTGACATCATTGTGTACACGCCAATATTCCAAAATCTGAAAAACTCCAAGATCCAAAACACGTCTTGTCTCAAGCATTTTGGAGAAGGGAGATTAAACCTGTACCAGCACCCTCCCCACCCTTTGCGCCAAGCCCAAAAAGGTCTGGTGAATGTCTGCCACAACCCTACTGTGTCTGCTCAGAGGTCAATACAAGGGATGCGATCCCAAAGTGGCTGCTGCCCTTCCTCTTTCCCGCAGCTTTAGACAAACAGCCATAAACGTATTTCAAACAAAACCTGGACTTCTTCCTCTCCCTGCAGCAACACTCACCTAGGTCAAACACCACCAGCGAAGGCTTTTTGGTCATCTTCTGTCAGTAAATGAAGCGGCACACGCAGAGATGGGGTCAGGTCACGTCTCCACTGTGCTTTCGTTCCAGGGGCCCCTGTGGATAGCAACATCTGTGGATGCTCAAGGCCTATTAAACACAATGGCATAGCAAAACGGTGTCCCTTATATAAGATGGCAAAAATCAAGGTTTGCTTTTTGGAATTTATATAATTTAAAAATATTTTCAAACCATGGCGGCTTGAATCCGTGGATTAAAAAAATCTTTGGATGTGGAGGGCTGACTGTACCACCAAGGGCTTTAACTGAGATTTCTAGTGAGTGTGGCCCAATTCACTACAATGAAGATGGGAATCTTTATAGGTGATATAGCCTTAACAGAGAAGACGGAGAGGTGATAGACTTTCCTTCTTCAAATACGTGAAGGGGGAAGATGAGACGAGCGGAGGGGAAGATCTGCGTCACCGGATTCAAATTATGAGAAAAGAAATTTTGATTAAACTTTAGGAAAACTGTCCTGATGGTTAGAACTGCTTGAAAGTGAAATAAGTACATTGGGCCCTTGGTATCCGCTGGGTTTGGTTCCATGGCCCCAATGGATATCAAAATCTGTGGATGTTGAAGTCCCATTAAATACAATGTATAAAATGACAAATTCAAGGTTTGCTTTTAGAAATCTATCTATCTATCGGTATGTTTTCAAGCTGTGGATGCTTGAATCCATACATAAAGAATCTGTGGATACAGAGGGCCGACTGTATTCTCCTTCACTTGAGTTTCCCCCCCCCCCCTTTTAATGGAGACTGGATGGGCAACTTAAAAAAGTTACCATGGTTCAGCATTAAGCTAGAAATCAGGGTTCGAATCTCCCTTCAGCCATGGAAACCCCACTGGGGCAAATCCCACCCTGGGAGTTGAAGTCCAAAATCCTGGAGGATCAAAGTTTGGGAACCACTTGGCAGGGGTGCTGTAATATTTTAACAACTGTTTTTAAGAGCTTTTATCTTTTTAAGTTGCATTTTATTCTTTTATTGTGTAGTTTTTTTTTAAACACTGTAATGGTTCGGTTCTATTTCAATGCTCCTTTTTAATATGTTTTTAGTTGCATTGCTCTTTTAAATTGTGAGTCACTTTGAGTCCCAATTTTGGAGGAAACATAATAACTTGTTATGCTTATGATAAAATAATAATAATGGCAACCATCAACATGGAAACTCAGTGGCTGGCTTTGGGCAAGTCACACTCTCTCTGTTTTAGAGGAACGCAGTGGCAAACCCCATCTGGAAAAAAATATCAGGCCAAGAAAACCCTACAGTAGGGTTGCCATAATTTTGGAGTTGACTTGAAGGAACATGACAACAACAAAGTTGGGAAGGATCTGGGAATGGTCCTTTTCTTTTTGGAACAACAACTGCCACAGCCAACTAGTCATTGTGGATACTGTGGCCAACCTCAGCAGCACTTTAGTGATGGATTCCTCTCGCATTGGCAAGGGGTCAGACTAGATAGCTCTTGGGTATCCCTTCTGAACAATTCCCACCACCTTCGAGTCATTGTGGATACTGTGGCCAACCTAAGCAGTGCTTTAGTGATGGATCCTACACTGACAAGGGGTCAGGCTAGACAGCTTTTGGGTGTCCTTCCTGATTCAATCACTCGACTATATTCTGAAGTCCACAAAGTCGTGGTTGCAATGGTACCATCAGACAGGACTTTAGGGTACACTTTGGGCTGTTGCATTCATCCCAATGAACAAGAGATTCCCCCCAATGTGCATCCCTTCTGTGCTGACATCTGAAAACCTATGTGCCACGTGCCCTGATCCAAAAGAGCACACTTAACGTACACTGATTCTTATATGCACACTGATACCAAAAGACAACTTATGCACAGATACAAAAATTGGAAAAAAAAAAATCTGTCCCCATTTCAAATGCTGAGCTCCCGAGTACCTTTTCTGCACTCTTGATCAACTGGGCATCAAATCCTGGCTTTCTCCCTGAGAGCAAGTGGAACTGGATGGTTGGATCTGGCCTTCCAGGAACACAAGGACTAGATGCCAGGCTGGGACTCTCTTTCCTCCTTTTCTGTCTCTATTAATCTCTCTCTCTTTTTCTCTCTTGCTCCTTCCTGGACCACGTGGTTTTGCAGCTGCAGAAGCAGAATTATTGCCAGACAGTTCCAGGTCAGACTGGTTAACTCCTTCTGCCCCAGAGGAAAGAACAAAAAAATTATATATATATATATATATACACACACACATATATACATATATATATACATTATTGACTACTTGATGCATGAAGACCCTTCCATACCATCTGAACTGAGGACAACAACCACAACATCTTGACCAAATGCAGGACTATGACTAAATTGTTTAAAAAAAAATCTTTCTTCTGTATGATTTTTTAATACCTTTTCTGGATGAAGAAGCCAGTAGAGCTTCGAAAGCTTGCAACATGTATAATGTGCATTTTGGGCGGTCCCATAAGGGGACCACTGTTTTGTAGATTTGGGATGCTCTTGTTGTATTATGGCTTCGAAGGCTTGCAACATGTAATGTGTATTTTGGTTGGCTTAATAAAGTTATCACCGTTTTGTAACTTTGGGATGCTAATGTACTGTGGCTTGGAAAGCTTGCAACGTGTGTAATGTGCATTTTGGTTGGATCCCCATAAGGGATCACTGTTTTGTGGATTCTGGGTGTTATTGCACTTTGATAAATAGCCAACACAGCTACCCCTGGATCTGTTTAACAAAATTAGCTTCACTTTGGATCCAGCACAGAAATACAACAAAACCAGAGGGGAAAATCTAATCCAAAACTGAACTATTGAGTGAAATCTGGAAAGCAATGAAACTAGTTGAGCTGTGCAATGTTGCACCAGATTTTCAAAACAAGAAATAAGCCTCCCCCAAATTAAGACTTCTGCCCCCTGCATTAATTTTTCCCATCAGTCCCCAAATTTCTAGCACTTTCCAAGAGTAAG